GATTGTTCAAACAATGACACACCGACCGTCATCAGTCTTAAGCGTTCCTGAAAAACCGTTCCTGCGCGTGCCGAGCCGGTGGCGCCCAAATTCAGTCTCCGCGGAGATGCAGTCCAAAACATCACCCCACGAACCATCGCCTCGTGAAGACTCTGAGGATATCCCAACGGAACGCTTAGGAATCAATCCACGCTTAGTTGCTAGCTCATGTCCGGGGATTCCATGCGCAACTGGCAGAGTAAATATAGATAGATATATAAAGCCGTGGTCTGGTCAATTGTCATGACTGTGTTCGAATCCCATCTTCATCAATCGAATCACCAACCTCATCCGCAACCCCTTTATACATCCAGACCACAGCTATCATGGCTCCTACACAGGCTCAGATTGACATTGTCAAGGCCACAATCCCCATCCTCAAGGAACATGGCACCACCGTAACTGCCACCATGTACAAAAATATGATCGGAAACAACCCAGAACTGCGCAACGTCTTCTCCATGCGAAGCCAAGCAACCGGCGCTCAACCCGCTGCCCTCGCAGCCTCCGTCCTCGCCTACGCCACATATATTGACGATCTCCCCAAGCTGCAGCATGCCGTCGAGCGCATCGCCCAGAAGCACGTCTCCCTCTTCATCCAGCCCGACCAGTACATGATTGTCGCCAAGTACCTCATCGAGGCATTCGGCATCGTCCTCGGCGACGCCTTCACCGACGAGATCAAGGACGCCTGGGTCGCCGCCTACCTCCAGCTCGCCGACGTCTTCATCCAGCGCGAGGCCGCGCTGTACAAGGGCGACGGCGAGTGGACCGACTGGCGCGACTTCAAGATTGTCAAGAAGGAGCTCGAGAACGAGGCCGTCGCCAGCTTCTACCTCGAGCCCGTCGACGGCAAGCCCATCCCTTCTTACCTCCCCGGCCAGTACATCAGCCTGCAGTTGCCCATCCCCGGCGTCGACTTCAAGCAGAGCCGCCAGTTCAGCCTGAGCGAGGCCCCCGCCAAGCAGCCCACCTACTACCGTGTCAGCGTCAAGCGCGAGGAGACGATTGGCGAGGCTGAGGCCGCGACCAAGGAGATCGGCCAGGTTCCCGGCCTCGTCTCGAACCTGCTGCACGCCAAGTACAACGTCGGCGACGTCGTGGAGCTCAGCGCCCCCCACGGCGAGTTCTTCGTCGACCCCGCCGTGCCCGTTAAGGGCGAGAAGCCCATCGTCCTGCTCTCGGCGGGCGTCGGCGCAACGCCCATGCGCTCCATCCTTGACGCCGTCATCGCGTCGCCGACGAGCGGCAAGCGGCCCATCAAGTGGATTCACGCTGCGCGCCGGGCGGGCACCTCGCTCTTCGTCGAGCACGCGCGGGAGGTGGCGGCCAAGCACGAGAACGTCACTGCGACCATCTTCCTCAAGGAGGTGAAGGAAGGGGAGGTGAAGGGCCAGGCGTTTGACTTTGAGGGTCGGCTGGATCTTGCCAAGCTGGCTGAGGAGAAGGCTCTGTCGCTGGAGAATGACGGCGCTGAGTATTTCATCTGCGGACCCGAGTCGTGGATGCTATTTGTCAAGGAGTGGCTGCTGGAGCATGGCGTTCCTCTAACGAGGCAGCACCTTGAGCTGTTCAACACTGGCGACGTTGTTTAAATGAGATCTCTCGGCACGGAGGAGAAAGAGACGGAGGCGAAGCCTGTGCACGTATTGATGCGCACTGATATGTGGCAACAATAGTCGGAGAGCGGTCTTGTACTTGTAATGTGATACCACTTGAAGCTGGGGGATAATGTTGATTATGATTTTTGGGCGCATTGATAGATATGATATCTCTTTCTTTTGTAACGAGACGCCATCTTTAGATATTATGAATATACACACAACTCCTATCCATATACAGCCCTTCGCTCTACTCCATTACGTCTCCAGCTTCTTCTCGTGCTCTACCTCCGGCGGCGAGTCAATCCTGACGCCCGTCGACTCCCCCATGATCTCCTCCCTCGTCACCGGCGGCCCGGTGAAATTCTTGCGCGCGTATGCGACGTACCACACCACGGCGATGGTGCCGAAGCCCGCGAACACGACGGACGCGTAGTTCATGGTGCTGGCGTCCACCGGCAGCGACACGGGCATGCAGAAGATGACGAGCGCGAAGAAGATCCAGACGACGCAGACTGAGTTGATCAGGGGACCAAACTTGCCCAGGGGATATGGCGAGTTCTTGACGGCCTTGCGGCCCTGGACGAGGTTCACTCCGACGGGGACAGCGTAGGAGGCGGAAAGGCAGATCGTCGCTACGCCGGTGAAACTATTGAAGGCTGGTTGAGGGTTGTGTTAGGCGCTGGAAAGTAAAGTTACGGGGAGGAGGATGGTTGACATACCGGCCGAGGAGCCAAAGTAGATGCATCCCAAGAGGCAGTCTACAACGGTTGACAGTCCCAGCGCCCACAGTGGCATGTCGAGGCGGTGGTTGATGCGGCTCCAGAGCTTGTACCCTGGGATGGCGCCGTCACGGGCAAACGCATACGTGCATCGGGACGAAGCTGTCAAGGCACCGACGCCCGCGAACAAGTGAATGCCTAATCATAATTAGCTGGGTTGCGCCTTGACTACTACGAGGAAGTGCATTTAAACATACCGAGGATCAGGAAGAGCAGACCGAAGCCGCCAGCTGCGGAGCCGGTGACTGTCTTGAACAGCAGACCAATTGGCTGGCCGTTGGCAACCTCGAGGAGCATACTGACGTCGGGGAGGACGAATAGCAGGGGAACAAGGTAAACGAGACCGGTGAGGCCTGCAGCGACAACGGAGAGGACAATGGCGCGGGGCACTTCACGTTCGGGACTGAGGAACAACGTTAGAATCACTGAGTGCGTGCGGCGAATGACGGTGGAACATCTCACTTCTGAACCTCCTCAGCCATTGCGGCCACCATTCCGTAGCCAGTCAGGGTATACGCGGCTTCAATTAGTATGGTGTTAGCTGTGATGTGCAAATGATGGTCCGTAGATGGAAAGGGAGCCGTACCTTGGAGCAAGCCGACAAAGAAAGACCAGCCTTCCGGCCAGCCGCTGCCCGACGCATCGTAGTGCGAGAATACAAATTCACCAGACCGCCGGTCCTTGCACATGACAAGCAGGGTCACGATGATGATGACGACGCTCGCGGCCGTCCAGTAGACGCAGAGCTTGTTGATGAAGTCCAGGTACCTCGACCCAAAAGCGTTGATGGCGGCGTGCAGCAGCATGACGGCCCAGAAACACAGCACCGTCTGCCACTGGTTGGCGACGTAGTCCTCGTTGAAGACGGAGATTGCGCTGAGGATGAGCTGCGCGCCGGAGAAGTTGATGGAGAGGGTGACGGTCCAGTTGCCAATCAGGCCGAGCCAGCCGTCGACGAAGCTGACGGGGGCGGCCCAGCGCGGGCTGCTGAGCATGGCGCTCCAGTAGTAGACGCCGCCGGCGGTCGGGAAGACGGCGCAGATCTCGGCGAGGGAGGCGGCGATGCAGAGGGAGATGAGGGAGACGAAGGCCCAGCCATAGAGGATGGTGACGGACTGGCCGTTGGTGAGCGTGATGTAGAGGGTGGTGGAGAGGCCGAAGGGGGCGGCCATGATGGCGAACGAGAGGCCGAGGATGGACATCATTCCCAGGTGACGAGGCAGTTCTGACTTGTAGCCCAGCTTGGCGAGCGCCTGGTCGGCCGTTTGCGCTTGGGACTCGGCCATGATGGAGGTTGCCTTTTCTTTCTCCCTGTGGCCGAGGTCAATACAGGAATTGAGGTTGAAGAACGGCGGGGACGAGGTTCTACCAATATCACCTACTCTTTGGCCAATGTGCGACGGAGGGATGGTCGTGATGGAGGACAGTATCGGAATTGGGGAAGAGGCCTCCTCGGGATCAAACGAGGTTTGGGGAAGCGAGGCAGTAATACACACTGAGAAAAGGAAAAGGAAACCCAGCTCCAACTCACATGCTTATCATTTCTCCAACTTGTCCTAATGAGGATCTTCCATGATGGATCACCGGGGCCAAGGACATGATCTGGAACAGGCCAAACCTCATTCAGCGGCCAAGGCCCCTGTCTCCAGCCGCTGTGACGACACGAAGTTTGATCTTAGTCAATTCCCCAGACAAACTATCAGTGTGTATCTAATCAGCCTCTCCACCGTGCCAGGGCTCAACCCAGTCCAGACCAGGACGTGTCGGTGGAGCCTGGGGAATGGCCTGGGATCTTGATAAGCACTGCTAAGGTAAATGAAGAGCCTGTAATCCGCGCAGAGGAGGAGTGTGTGGTAGCATCGGAGGAGACCGAGGCAGGGAGTCAGCGTGTGGGAGAGAAGTTGGGCCGCTGAACTGCTCACGCGAGCGCCAAGCAGGAGACTGCAGCCAAGCCGGGCCAGTCCTTTGCTAACGATATTAGCGCTTCCAGTGCTGTTCTGCTTCTACTTCTGGCTTGTGTTTAGGTCTTCCAAGTCCCGGTTACTCATCTCTCGCCAGCAATCAAGACCCGGCACAGACTGTCCTGGCCGGGCGAATCCTGTCGTCGCGATGACAATCTGACAGAACCGTTGTAGGATCCACAGTCTGATGTGGTCATTCGAATCAGCCCACTGATAAGGACGGACTGTCGGCACCACTGGCGCTTGGCCATAGCTCAAGGGGAGGCGGCCGTAGCATGGAGGCTCATGTCTGTTTGCTTCCCCGGCCGAGATGGTTGCCTGGATATACCGACATTCGATCACTGGGTGGCAATAGCTTCACTCAAAAATCTGGCTCATATGAGCAGTGCTTCTTTCAACAGAGACAAACACATGGTATTTGACAGCAATTAATTTACACAAGATCATTACTTGACCCGCTAAAGCTGCGCTCCTGAAAGTCAAAGTCGATACCGAAGCCTACACTCGAAGCAATTTCAAGAGATATTCACTTGGACTGTAGAACCCCTGTATTGACCATCAGGCAGTCGAAATTTCCTCTTAAGTTCATTGCATCACATCCTCTTCACTTGCTCCGTTCAGACTGGGTTCTCAAATGGATTTTCATCCATCCAGAGTTCCCCAAGGCTCTTCCTAGGCGCATTGTCGATGGCAGCGCAGCAGCAATTCATGACATCATCTTCTGTGTTAACGGCAACGACTTCTCGTGTGATCTGACATTCAATTGTCATGTTGCTCTGATCGGGTTCGTGGACCTCTGACAAGTCACCATACGCACTTTTGGGCATTGATGTCGTGCCGTTATTATCAATGCGCTGCTGGGGGGTCTCTTCTGCAGAAATTTGACTCTGTTGTGACGTGTACGAAAGACAGGTTTCGTATTCCCATGATTTTTTCATGACGGAAAACATATTATGTGACGGAACTGTTAGCCAGCAACGATTGGCTTTCTTGAATGCCTCCAGGGCTCTTTCGGTTGTCATTTCTTGTTTTGCGGAGGCTACATCGTCAATGGCCTCGGATATGCTAACCAGTTCATGATGTGAGACTGCACAAATGCCTGCTTGATTGTACAGCTCCGTTTGGCGCCTCTGAATTGCCTGCGTTGACCCTGGAGCTCTCGCACGGGCAAAGTGCCCGACTTTTGCAAGTATCAAAGTCTCAACTGATTCCGCATGTGATTTTGTCAGTCGGATAAGTCGTTCGTATATCGACTCGGTGGTGTGATCGTCTTTTGACACCAGAGACATCTCCTTTCTCAGCTCGTTGAGGAGGGGACTGTCGAGGATAGGACAGTCGGATGTCCCATTGACAAGCGGCGGGGACCATCCTGTCCTGGCGCCAATCTTCGCGATTACAGAAAATTGTAGGAAAAGCCGCAAAGTCTCGGAAGTTGATCTCTCACTAAGGAATGGGTGGCTGATGATGCTCAAAAAGCGATCTACTGACGCATATGCAAAGATAGGGCTTGTATCGCCGACCATGTATTTACTGCGCATGAGGAGAAATATCCCCTTCGTTCTCGAGAAAATGCTGTACGGAGATTCGCCAAAAATGAGAAGAGTCGCTTGCCATAATTTTTCGTTTTCCCGCAAAGTATTCGCGTGAGCCTCGTCGATAAGCTTTCGAGCAGCTCGGATTTCATCCTTCATTCTCGCGTCAAGTCTTTGTAACGTACGACCCCAACCTTCCGATCCCTTTCTGGAGGGCACCACTAACAGTTTAGAGACATCAGAACCCCTCCTGGCCGACACCTTGGCGTCGATGAGGCGTCGGAGCCTTCGCTGGTCGTGCATAGCTTCATGTTCCATCGTAGCCGGGGCCATCTCCCGTTCTCTGATATTGGTACAGCTTTTGTGACAGCTGCGGGCGATGCGTACCGGTAAATGACTGCAAGAAAGAAATCGGGTTGGAAAAGGAAACTAATGCATCACCGCAAGGGCGAGGTTTCGCGTGGTGAAGGGCGCGTTGAGGAAACACGGAAGGCATGACATGAAAAACACGCGCTTGAACTGAGTTCACTCTTCTCTCACAACGCGCAGTCATCAAACCGTGCATAAAAACCTTCCGCTGAGCGGGCATTGTACTCTAATTTCGATCAACGAGCTCTTCCAGACTACCCTCTTTGAACCATGTTGAACACATTTCTTGCCTTTAAACTCAACGCTATGTGACAAAGGCGGCATTTATATTCCTATATCTGCTGCCATCAGTCCCTCACAGTAGCTCTGGTTCTGACAAAATCGACCCATCTATGATTTTCATCGGTTTGATTAGGCCAGCCGGGGTGCCTAGGGTTCTCTTGCATATCTGGAAAATCAAGCATAGACATCTGGCTAGTATAGGTGCATACATCACCATAATTAGCGCCCTGACAAGGACGAATTTCATAAAGAGCGACAAGACGGGCTCGATTACGCAAAAAAGGCATACTAATGGTACTGTTGAGGACTCAGCTTCTTTCTTGGGTACTTTGAAACTATCAGGAGTATCTTGTTCCACAGGAAACTGCTGTCCCTCTAATAGATATGAATCGTTGGGAGCTTGTAAAACGCAAGCCCATATCTGCGGTTCATCTGCATATTGATGAGCATAAATGTACTGAAACCAGTAACATTTATTGCAGTATAAGGGCCAAGAGGAATGGAATATCTGAATCCAGGAACCAAGATATGGGTCACGTCTTTGCCTGGCTGCCCCTAGCTGCCTTGGTAGTGTTAGATACACTGAGCGGAACTCAATGCCTTGGCTTTCAAAACAGCCCAAATGCACTGGGATGAAGAGTTGCATCTTTAATATGATTTATACTGTCTTGTCATTGAAGACGATGAGTTGCTCCGCATTTGTGGTAAATTTTCCGCATGAAGCTTTGGAAAGGATATGTTTCTTTGCGTCTAATCTTACGAAACTCGGCTGTTGAACAGAAACGAGTCTTTTCAAGAACTGAACTACCTTTTCGACTTGATGAAACGAAGGAGAGCTTCTTTGGTCCGAATTTTCTGTCTCATATCTTACTCCGGATCCGAATTGCAAGGTTGGTAAATTGGTAGTACTTTCGGGAAAATGGTAGAGACGCGATTTCTTTGGGCGACACTTCTAGAAGGCCTCTTGTCCGCATGCTCTAACCCACGTCGCTGGGAGAGTTTTAGTTCTTTTTGGAATGTGATTCCGAATCTACCTTATCTACAGGAACACCAGATGGCCTCTGAGACGCGAATGTAGATTGATGAATTTGGTTAACATGTGGCTACCTCTATTTCAAGCTATCAAGTGAAGCTATCTAAACCCATTGCGTTTGTGTCTCACTCAAGACTTTTTTTCACTAATATGCCTCATAGTAAGAATGCGGCTGGAAAAATCTGTGAACTGTGTGCCAAGGATTTTGAACGTCAATGAACATTCATGGAGACAAGAAACATACGTTCATATTGACGAGGAGTGGCTGGCCTCCATCGCGGTGGAGCTCGTGATATCAACCTTGTTCCTGACTTTCAGAATTGCCCTTCAAAAGTCTCGCATGGATGAGTTATCATTATTTCTAATGTCAAAGACTCGCCATTTCCCACATTGGTGGCGCTTGACGGGAGGTGCCGTTCCATAGCCAGCAAGGTTATTCAATCCATAGGTGATCTGAACAATACTACAAAGGGATTCCGACAGCATTGGGGGCGAGAATCTGTCCCAGATCCCATGAAGTGGGGTGCCTCAAGTGAACGTTAAGGTGACTCCTCAGATATGACCATATACTTAGGAATGAGTAAGGCTATGCCCATGTCTGCTATCCTGGCTGTTTTGGTAGGGGCATCGGGTGCCCATGCATGACCTCAAGGGGCTCTGGCTGGCATCTTTGTATCTACGCCGTAGATCATTGGAGTCATGTTCTGAAATAGACTGAATTATGGAGAAGTTTCTTTGAGAAACATCTTGGCTCGAGCTATTCCCTAGAACGGCTCTCAGTCGGTGGAGGGGAGAAAATGGAATCAGCTCTTGAAATGTCATGAGACTACCCTCACTGTAGAAGAAAAATCAGATTCAACTTGGATGTGATCCATTTTCTTTCTCAACTTACTCCACACGGCTAAGGAATCCCGTTCTAGATCGATATATTATGCCCACATGGCACGGGTCCTCCCTCCTCTCGAGCCCCTGTTGAGCTATTGCGTGTTACTGTGGCGTGGTGCCATTGTCTGGAGAGCGGCCAGATGCCCAGTCAACCATTTTCGTAACCATTACTCTGAAGTGACAAATAGAAACTCGGTAGGTTAGAGTACCATGGCTCATCGGCATCTCCCGCGCAAGACAAATCGAATTACCACGTCGTCCTCACATTGGACATTGGACCCTTACTGTGCATTCGCATGCATGCAGGTGTATCCATTTGGTAAGTTGGACGAACGCCGGCTCCTTTAATCCCACTTGGTCCTCCTAACAAAACTTTGCACTCACATGGGCCAATAGCTGCGCTTAATCAAGCCCATTCATTGAGTCTTAAATGGCCGAGGACACTTGCTAACGCGAAAGTGGGCCGCGCCTTGGCTTGAAATGGTGTGAAAAGGGGAAAAGGGAGGGACCATCCGAATGGGAAGCCAATAGCTTCCGGGAAAAGCTTGTTCAAAGCTGCCCGATGGTGGGCCATGTGCTTTGTATGCACATGATCTAGCCTCGGGGTGTTTGTCAGAGATGACCGATCCTGGAATCGTAGCCAGAGGGCGGCTCTGATGCAAGCCACTCGGCAGTTGCAGAGGAAGCGAGCAAAAGCCAAGACCTTAGCAGGCGTTAGGGATGGGATGGAAGTTGCCGGGATTAGACTACAGCCAAGAAAACACAGTCAAGGGCAACAATTATGCCTCAGCAAGTTGACTACCAGGCAAAGGGAGGCTAGGCTTCCTCTCATGGTGTGTTAATGTCACCGGCGGCTCCTGCGGAGGAGAAATTTGCATGATACCCTTGATCATATCCACCTATGGTTTGTGCGATCCCTGAGGGTCGCGAATGTAAGCGATTGTTGCGCCACGATCACCAACATGAACGCGAGAGGGCAAAGGGAAAGACAAGCTAACCGAACGGTCGGCCTGATGTTCAACAGTCAAGCAAGAGCATCACCGGCACTTGGAGCTCTACAAAAGGGTAATAATCCAGCAAAACATCCCCAGTCATGGACGACATAGTTGCTTCCATCGATCCTTTCGTCGGGTGCGTGCGTCAAACCGATCTCGCAGGGCAATGTTCAAGCTTTTCAAAGCTCCGGTCCATTGGTATGGAAAGGACCAAGCGCCCCATCTTATCAGATCATGAGCAGGCCTTGTCTAATCAATCACCTGAAGGCATTGCGCGGTTTGTGGATCAATGCTAATGGGGCAGCCCTGTTTTGAGAGGCAAACTCCGGCTGGCGAGAGACTAAGAGTGCCGTCTTAGCCGCATTACAGTGGAATTCCGACAAAAAGCTATGTTTTATCGATCAAAATAGTGGCTCCGATGGCGGACACGTTCAAATTGACGCTCAGCCTGTCCACTTCCAGGCCTTCATCACCATGTAGGTGAATCCAAGAAGAGTTTGCTCTCCACTCGTCCTAACTTCTCGCTAGAGATGTAGTCCGATTGATTAGATGGTCCACATGGCTAGATTCTTCGTCTTGCGTGGCCAGTGTTACGGAGCCCACTTCTTGTGATACATGTTTTTATTCTCTATATAATATTGTATGTTTCCCTCGGTATCCTGCCTTCCTCCCCTGCTCTGGTCATCCATTGTGCTTTGACATTGGCTTCGATTACTCCCAAGACTGGGCTCATATACATTCAAAATGCGGTTCCTCCCTAAATTCTCGTCTAACGACAACGATGTCGTTGACGAAGTCGCCCATAAGGATGCCGAAAATACTGGCCCAGAGAACAAGGAGGCAGGAGTAGTAACGGAAAAGGTCGACTCCGACTATGAGAACGAACAAATTGCCAAGGCCGAATACCAACATGGAGACGAGGCAATCCGGGCCACGACCCAGGTTTGGTCAAAGTACCATCTCTACGCCTCCTACTTTCTGTAAGTTCGCCATGATCACAAAGGAAACATAGACATTTTCTAACTGGAGGTCCCAGGATCTGGCTCATCTGCTTCGTTCAGGCTTTCTCGGCTGGTATCATCGGTACTATGACTCCGTATGTCACCAGTAGCTTTCAATACCACTCTCTCACTGCCACTATGAGCATCGCTGCAAGCCTTGTCTCCGGTTTGATCAAGCTCCCTTTCGCCAAGCTCCTCAACATCTGGGGCCGCCCTCAGGCCTTTGGTATTATGATCATCATAGTCACCATGGGTATCGTCATGATGGCTGCTTGCAACAATGTCGAGACCTATGCTGCTGCTCTTGTCTTCTACAACGTTGGATACAGCACCATCAGCTTCGCCACTACCATCCTCATCGCAGATACTTCTGCTCTAAAGAGTCGAGCTTTGGCTATTGCCGTCTCAGCAACTCCCTATCTGTTCACTGTCTGGGCTTATGGGCCCGCTGCTGAGAGAATCCTGGCCGACGGAGGAATAGGTTTCCGATGGGGTATTGGCATCTGGGCCATCATCTACCCCGTTGTGTGCGTCCCTCTATTCGCTCTCTTGTACTACTACCAGAAGAAGGCTGAGAAGCTGGGCATGATCAAGAGGGAGCCTAGTGGCCGCACCTTTGCTCAATCTTGCGTTCACTGGTTCAACGAGTTCGATATCTTCGGTATCCTCATTCTTGCTACAGGCTTGGCCCTTTTCCTGCTTGCTTTTGCCATCTACTCGTACCAGGCGGACACTTGGAAATCGCCTCTCATT